ACTCGGGAAATATGGAAGATTTTGTAAAAATAAAATGTACTGAAAATTACCCTAAATTTATATATGAGGCCATATTTTGGCTCCAGTGACTTTTCCGGGAAATCTGATCAGATAGAAAACTTCCTTGGGACTTCCTCTTTCCATATGTGTAAACAAGAATTTGCTTCCGACACACGAATTTTTTTTACGAATTTTATTAGTCTACTGAAAAAATCAGTAGAGTTGGCAGCCTTACATGCCAATTCTATTTGGAACTGAAGAGAGATCTTGTTGAAGGAATAATTCGATTGAAAAAAATGTTTTCTGACTGTGGCTTGTTTCAAAAAAAATTCGTGACGTTGGCTTGCTCATGGAATTAGAATGAAGCATATAAGAATCCTTCGTATTCAAGTGTTTTTTTCAAATACAATCATTATATACAAACAATTTTAATTAAAATTCAGATTTATGATGAATTCCCTAAAGTCAAATGATTCACTGATTGTTGACAAATCTGATGCTAAATTTAACACTGCGCAGAGCCCTTTGCGACTTCCTAGCATTCTATACTGTCAAACATATTCTAAATGATATTAGAAGAGAATTTATCATCGGATTATTTTCGACGCGCTAGTAAAATTGCCAAGACTCTTATTTCTACTATAATAATATTAATTTTATCTGGCTGAATATAATGTGAGTTTTGATTAAGTTTTGGCCGGAAAAGAGTGCAAGACGGTTACACATTTATATATTATTTAATAATAATGTTAAATATATATGTTTGAATTTGTGCAATCGTGTGCTTTGGAAATAACAATTCAATCGATTTTCTATTTGGTATTACTTTTAAGAAATTTCCCCCTTGAAATTCCACATGAAAATGTAAATAAAAGGAAAATGATCTGACATCCGCTAACAGCAACATGTTTCTTCACGATCAAAACATACCTTTGCTTCCTTTCCATTTGTACCGATGGCATCGTGCACAAGAAACACCTGATAGAGGACAAATATTCATTAACACTAGATATATGAGCAAATATCAACGAAAATTCGTTCAGAATTGACACTTACAAAACAAACTATCGAAAGAATTGCTGTAGTTTTCATCTTGAACTTTTATTTCAGTATGAAAGAACGCTAGTTGAATGTACCATTTAAATAGGATTAAAGACAAAGCATTGTGACTAATCGACACTCTCCGAACAAATGGAATGATCAAACAATTTCAAAGCGAATTGGAATGGTTTAAGCACAAAAAATCCATCGATTCAGAATTTTCCACTCGATCGGCACGTGTAGCTTTGTGAATGCAGGGCATAATAAAAAATCGATTGGAATTCGAATACACTATTGCGCAGAAACAAATGTTCAAATAGGCTCGCAATACCACATTTCCCTATTCCATAACTTTATGAATTGAGTGAAGATGTGATAATAAAAAACCAAACAACAACGTTGTGCTGATGAATAAACATTTTGTTTTTATTTTATTATCTTCAAATTGATGAATTTCAATTGAGATGCACTCAAGGAAAACACATTTTTTTTAGTTTTGATTGAGTTAGTTTCGATCTTGAGATCGATTTATGTTGAATACTCCATAAGTAGTAGCATAAACTGTATTGGACTATGTCTAATTTGGTTAAGTTGAACTTCCACCAGTTAACCAACCAATTGGATTCCATCTGCCTTTCTTCTTCTGTAGCGAGAGAAAAATAAACAGAAAAAAAGTTAATCATGCCTACAGAAAAGTTCGCTAAAAGTAATTACATTCAATTTGGAATTGAATTCAAAGATGACGATGTTCAAAATGTCAAAATTTGAAATATCAAAATACACTATTATTAAAAATATGATTTATACTGTATAAATTATA